TGTTGACAGCATTTGAAAGCTCCTGATCTGAAATCTCTGTTGGGGCTGCTATTCAAGCTGTTATTCAGTTTCTTATCTATCTGCTGCTACTTGTAGACATCTTCTGTGGGGGAAGCCTGAAGGTCCTGACTGAAAGTTTTGGCTGTTGCACATGACACTTCATTAGAAGGTCAGAGAGAAGAACTTGTTTGTTAGGGATTTATGGGAGGAAAAGAAAAGCTTTTGAGATTTTGCTTCAGAAAACAGACACTGTTAGGAGCGCCGTCAGCTTTTGTGTTTGAGGGCCATGTCATCCCTGCAGTCCACGGCTTGAATTCCATCTTTATTTAATTAACCCAAAGCCAAATACTGCTGAAAATATTTGCAGAATTTGGGGAAGCTTCCTTCCAGAGTCAGCCAAGTAATTCTAGGAACGGTTCAGCCTGCTGCATCCTAAGGTCTTGATTCAGCACGATAGGTAAGCAGGAAATCATTCATTCAGCATTGAATTCACTGCCAAACTGAAGTTCAGAAGCTATCAGTGAATCTAATTCCTGAAGGATGGAGGCATCGAATTACATTCCTAAATCTTCCTCCACAGTGGACAGTGAGGACCAGAACAGACTGAGAAGAAGAGAGCTCACAGATTCCGTTTACCGCGTGCGATGCTGACGCCTCTGACCTTGGCCAGACTCTTTTCAGTGGTGCCCACTGACAGGACAAGGGGCAATCGGCACAAACTGAAGCACAGGAAGTTCCGTCTGAACATGAGGAAGAACTTCTTCCCTCTGAGGGTGACGGAGCACTGGAACAGGCTGCCCAGGGAGGTTGTGGAGTCTCCTTCTCTGGAGATATTCAAGCTCTGCCTGGACAAGGTCCTGTGCAGCCTGCTCTAGGTGACCCTGCTTTGGCAGGGGGGTTGGACTAGATGACCCCCAGAGGTCCCTTCCAACCCCCAACATTCTGTAATTCTGTGTGATTCTGTGGTTCTGTGACCTTCCCAAAGGGCAAGAGGGAATAGTTTCCATGCGCCTCACAAAAACTGTCAGGCAGAAGTGACATTTGTCAGTCCGCCGCAGATGCAGACACCCTCCAAAGAGTGAGACTCCTCTAGGGAGATGACTTTCCACAGTCCAGCTACTGCTGAACATGCTGTGAACTGCACTGGCCAACACAGGCCCACACCAGCGACATGCGTGTGGATGTGCGCGTGTTCACTCTTTAAGACAAATCGAATCGCACCCCTCCTGGCTTCTCATTGGGCATGTCCTGATCTCCATGTCAGCAGGACCCTGGGGTTACCCACATGGGTGAGCCAGCATGTCGTGCCAGCCCTGCCCTTATGCCTAGGTCAGCCATGGTTCCAGCAGAGTCCGTGTCCTTCTGCACTTCTCACAGCCCGGCAGTGAGGCCCTGGTTTGGGCACTGGCACAGTGAAGAGCTCAGTGAGCACCTGGTGCTACCCAGTGCTATCTTCACACCGAACGCAGATATCTGGCGGGGTCAAACGCTTTACAGCAGGTCACAAATCAAATCAGTTCTCTTTCTTCTTGCCAGTAAGCAGCAGTTCCTGGGGTTTTGTGAGCTGGTTAACCTCTGTGACTACAAACACAGTATCGTGCCACTCACAAGCGCAACACAAGGCTATCAGAACGAAGGTATGGGCCCAAGGTCCACGTAGGTCAGCCGGGGTTACCTGTACCAGCCAACAGTGCACTGCTAAGGGTGAGGCAAGAACAGGCGACTCTTCGGTGATTTGCCCCCCAAAACAGCCCTGGCTCCCAGGAATCTGTGGTGCAGGAACGTTCCAGGTCAGATACACCGCCTTTGTAGTCAAAACTTTTATTTTCCCCTCCCTATTGATTTGTCCAGCCATCCTGGAACCCATCCGTGCTTTTAGTGCGCAGGCACCCCGGGGCAAGGAGATCTGTAACTCTTAATACTCCTTGTGTGGAGTCTCCTTTTCCTTTTTAGTTCAACGTCCACTTTCTACTTTATTTTTATTCATTTTGCTTTGAAAAATTATTAATTTAGAAGTTTGGGACAATTTGCCAAAATTTTAGTCTGAGGGAGAAAAGTAACCTCAGCGTGAAACCTCACCGTTTTTGATTCTTCCCTTGCATTTACTTTTTAGCTGCACGCTCTGAACCTCCCGACCACACAAATCCTTGACGCAAACCCTTGCAACCCATCGAGATTTTCGCCATGTCTGATGCTTTTCCACCAGGCTTGGCTTTCGAACAAGGGGATGGATGGCTGCGTCCCTTTTCCTCCCCCGCCTGTTTCAGCTGCCCAGGGATTTGCCGCTGTCCTCGGGGGCAGAAGTTTTAGGACGGCAACCTCGGGACACTTCGGCTTTCAGGCCAAACCCCGGGCCCCCGAGAACCCAGTTCGCGACTTGAAAGCCGCCGGGTGACTTACAAGCGGTAGTAATCGGTCGCTCGGGAGGAATCCCTCCCGGCCACCCCGAGAACGCCCGCCC